TCTATTCACCCTTCTTTCTTCTTCTTCTTTTTTTTTCATTTTAATTTCATCCTTGTCTTTCTGAATTTCATTCTCAAACTTAGATGTGAGTAGAAAAATTAAGAAAATAAATCAAGAAAAAATATTAAAAAATTAGAGAATTAAAAAAAAGATTTAGTTTAGTTTCGGTTTAAAGCTTTCAAACTGATTGAACCAAACTAAACTGGACCTTTAAAAATGAATATAAAATATGTTTATTTTAAAAAAAACTTGTTATTCATAATGACATTATACTTTTTTTTGTTCCAAACCCTTAAAATTTGCATCTTTTTGTCAAAACATGAAGTTTCATATTGTTTCTAATGTATAAAAGAGAATAGGTCCAATGTTTGGATAAGTTTTACTTGTAACGAGCTTTTATGATTACATTTATATATGTCTTGTTTGATTAAGTTCATTTCTTCTTCAACTTTTTTTTTTCTTCTATTTTTGTGATTATATTTATATATGTTGTTGAGTATTTATAATTATTTGATCTATTTTATGATTTTTGTTTTTTGTTTTTTCCATTATTATATAAAAATCAACTAGATTTTATTATTAAAAGCCCACTTAAAAACCGATAAGTTTTGTAAACCCTCGGATAAAGACTAAAGACTAAAATGAAAAGGAGAAAAAGAAAAATTAAAGTGGTAAAGATGGTTAGATAAATTATTTTTTGATTAAAATGAAATAGACTTGTGGTTGGAAATTTTCAAAGTTATTAAATAGTAAGAGTGTAAGTGATGACCGGAAGGGCTAAATTAAATAAATTAATTGAATAAAAAGGAAGTTTATTTAATGAGAAAAGTGAAATTAAAAAATAAAACAAAAAAAGGAGTTTATAGGACAAATGCATAAATAAGAAAATATTGGGCCAATGTATTAAGAAAAGAAATGATAAGGGTCAATGTAAAAATAGAAGAAAGTATGAGGAGTTAATATAGAAATTAAGAAAACATGAGGGCCTAATATGCATATAAAAAAAGTAAAAAGGGGCAAGATACAAATAAAGAGCTAGAAATCTTTCAAAAATCAGACTAAAAATATAAAAGAAGGTTAGATTAGGGAATATAAGGGTGTTAGATAGAGATTTGCATAAGAGAACTTAAAGGAATTCCAAGAGGTTCAATCTTGAAAGGGGCGACAAAAAGAAGAGAAAAGAAAGGTCAAAGCAACTTGATTCATCTTGAGATTTTTCTTTTAATTTTTTATTTTTTGGAGGTAAGAAATTTTGTTAAGAAGTTGTTTTAACTTGGTTTGTGTCTTTCTTGAATGATTGAGTTGCCAATATGTTTGATAAATATTTATGATTTATGAAGTTATAAAATTGTGTTCTGATGATGGAATGATAGTTGTTGATATTGATGATTATTGAAAAAGGAGTCAGTAAAGAGAAATAGAGCTTTCAGTTTTTAGAATGGATTTGATGAGGTAAATGGGTTTAACAATTATGTTAAATGATGATATTAAAGGTATTATATGTTATGTATGCTAAAAATGATAGAAAAATGCTTGAGAAACACTTAGATACTTGTTAAACTTAGAAATAAAAAACTAGATAGCTTGTTTCTCAGTTTCTCCACTAAAATTAAGACCCAAAAAAAGAACTTAAGGTAATTTCAATCATGAAAGTTAGAGAAATGGATGTTACCTTTCAAATGCACCCGACCTTACTTAAACTGAAGTGATGAAATGCTAGATATGAGATAAAAATCAATTAAGAGTTTAAACCGAAATCAACATGATAATTTTTCATGCTACTGCAATTTTTGAATTTAGTCAAGTAGATAGAAAAATTGAGTTTAGTTATCTTAATTAAAATTGTAGACCTATGTGTTAGATTCCCAAAGAAAAATACCACGTAAAAAACAAATTTTATAACTCTAATTATAATAAAATATTAAACAATATTTTGAGTTAATTATGTCAAACCACGTGAAATTGGTGAATTGTTAACTCCTATTTGGAGTTGTTCTTGATTAAAAATATTGAAATTATTGAGAGAATGAACATGGAAAATGTGTGTAGTTATAGAAAAAGCTTGAAATTAATATAACTATGGGTATAGGTGAAACTTTAGGCACTAAACAGCAACAAGGTATGAACAACAGAGCACATACTTCATGTAGGTGCTTGATATTTTAAATAATTATATTAAAGTTAATTATGGTTCTTGTAAAATGCATGTTAGAAGTTTTACTATGCATATTTATTATAAAAATATTGTTTGAACTAGTCCCCTGTTTTGGGAAATAACGCCTTATGAATGGGTTATTGTTTGAGCTAGTTTTTTGTTATGGGAATTGATGTCCTATGAATGTGTTATTCTTTGAACCAATTCCCTAGTTTAGGATTGATGCTCTGTAAATGGGTTATGGGTTGGACCAGTTTCTTGGTGTTAGGACTAATGCCATGGGAATGAGCAGTTAAGAGAATCGATTTCCTGATTTGAGACTGGTGCATTGTTAAATAGGTAAATGTGGAAATTTATCATAATAATTAGAACCGAGATAATGGGCTATTTTTTTAAATACAATTTGATAGTGTGTTGTCCAATTTCTTAAATTGTTTAATTAATTTTATGATGCTTTTATAAATTAATGTGGAGGTTCATCTCAATATTATACCATTTAGTTGATATATTAGTGTCTCTTTTGTATATCTACCTAGTTTAAGAGGTTAAAAGAGAGAAATTACCTTTTGGGATTGTATGTATAAATATATTTTGTTAAATTTTATTTTGATTGTATGTGATTTATTAAGTATGTATTTTATGTGGAAATTATGTAGAACTTTATTTTGTTGAATTTTTATGTAGAAATTTTATCTTTATCATCTAAGTTACATGATGTATAAATGAAATTGATGTAAGTAATTAATCAATTGTTTCTTTATTTAACTTATATGTATTGCTCTTAGATTGAATGAAAGTGTGGAAAACAATTTGGTTATATAATAACTACTTAAGGTCAGAAGGTAATATTATGGATTTAGTAATTAAACAGTATGAATAATATCTTGATACCAGTATATATAACTTTCTTGGTTTTTCAAGTGAATAGTATTTAAAAAGTTGAGGTTGTTACTAGTTTTGCTGGTTTTTCTCTTTAAAAAACCAAATAGAACAAAAAATAATTAATTTAAACCAATTTCCAGTTAGATATGATTCTAACTATATAAAAAGAAGTTTCACTTTAATTGGTTTTTATATAAAAAAATCAAATTGAACTAAAAATGCTCAATCATACTTAGATTTTTTTGAATAGTTGTTTGGGTTGTCTATGAATCAACCAAATCGACTAGATCACTTGAGTGTAATTTCCATACTGTTTAGTTTAAACTTGAGTTAAAAAAAGAGTTGAGTCAAGATAATTTTTTATGGTCAATTTCATTATTTCTTTTTCTTTTTCATCCTCATATTTTTTTACTAGTCGACCAGGTTGTCTTTAAACCAATCAAGTCATCCAGGTCATGACAGAGCAATTATCTTATGGGTTAATTTTAGACCTGGGCTAAGAAGTTGGGTCAAGAGTTTTTTAATGTAAATTTAATAAATTTTTTTCTTGATTTCATTCTTAGTTTTTTTTTTTATTTATTGATGGACTAAGATGTTTTTGGATTAGCTAAGTCAATTGGATCATATTAGGACAACTTTTATATGATTTGATGTTAAACCCAAATTAGACAAAAATTTGAATTAAAAGATTTCAAAATTGACCTATTATATTAGGGTTAATAAAAATATCAAACAATTTTCAAAGTTATTAAATGTTAAGAGTATAAGTGATGACTAGAAAGGCTAAAATAAATAAATAAATTGAATAAAAAAGAAGTTTATTTAATGAGATGGGTGAAATAAAAAATAAAAAAGGAGTTTATAGGGTGAATGTATAAATAAGAGGAAATATTGGGCCAATGTATTAAGAAAAGAAACGATGGAGTTTAATGTAAAAAACAAAAAAAGTATGAGGGGTTAATATAAAAATGAAAAAAAAACATGAGGGTCTAATATGCACATAAAAAAAGTAAAAAGTAAAAAGGGACAAGATATAAATAAAGAGTTAGAAATCTTTCAAAAATCACACTAAAACCATAAAAGAAAGTCAGATTAGGGAATATAAGGATGATAAGTAGAGATTTTCATAACAAAAGTTAAAGAAATACCAAAGAGTTCAACCTTAAAGGGGTGATAAAAAAAAGAAAAAAGAAAAGAAAGGTGAAAGAAACTTGATTTATCTTGGAATTTCTCTTTTATTTTTTTTACTTTTAGGAGGTAAGAAATTTTGTTAAGAAGTTATTTTAACTTAGTTTATATTTTTCTTGAATGATTGAGTTATTAGGGTGTTTGTAGATGTTTATAATCTATAAAGTTATGAAATTGTGTTATGGTGATGGAATGATGGTTGTTAATATTGGTTATGATTGAAAAAGAGTTAGTAGAAAGAAAGAGAGATTTTATTTTTTTAGAATTGATTTGATGAGGTAAATGGATTTAAGAATTATGTTAAATGATGATATATAAAGGTATTATATGTTATGTATGCTAAAAATGATAGTTTCAATGTTTGTTTTTAGAAAAAATAATTTTTCTTATAAAAAATTATCTAGTATTTCTATTTAGATATTTTATAGGTAGTTTAAATAATTTTTTTATAAAATATTTAGTATATTTCAAAGATAATATTTTTTTTAAATATTGAATGAGGTATGGCTCTAGATTCAAGATTTTTGAGTTTTGTATTTCAACTAGATTCAAGTTATTTAAAATATTTTTATATTTTTTTATTCATGAAAAGAATTATTATTAATTCATTATAGAAACGCGGGTCAATATACTAGTATATTTTAAATTATATCAGATGTATTTTAAAAATGTATTTATATAGAAATAAAAAAGGTATTTTCTATTGATTTTAATATGTATATAAAGTATTTTTTTGAAAAGAATCAGCAAACATACACAGTGCAGCAGCGCGGGAGTTCCCTTTCATAATTCGTCTATCTATTTCAAAAAAATCCAATGGAAATTTCTTCCACTTCGAATCTTTGCATACACGTAATGTTGCTTGCTTTCCTTTATATTCTATTCGATTCCATACTCGTTGTTTATCCGTAATCGATGGATGGAAACCGAACTTGTTGCAGTTAATTTCTTGTGCATTTCAAAGATGCCGTCTATCTCAACAACTCTGCCGGCTCTCTGCCGTTCTCAAATCACCATCTCCTTCCATCCTTCAAATTTCCAGTAATTATTTCTTTCCTTTTCATTTTTTTTTAATTTCAACTCATATCCATCGATCGATGATTACAATATAAAAGAAGTCAAATCAGTGCTGCGATTAAAATCTTCAATGCAGTTTCTGATACTGGAATCGGTAGCTGCTTGGAAGAATTCCAGGATCTTAACTGCAGCAGCATTATTTCTGCTGAATTTTGGGGTAAACCACGCCAGTTCTATTTCAATTTAGTAATTAATTTTGGATGACATTCATAGCTTTGTTGTGCAGATGGAATTCTCTCTGTCAAAACTACTGGTAGTTTCTCATTCTAATGATTCTGTCTCTCTCTTTCGTTTTACCTTTTACTACGGGGAAGTTTATACCATAGTTTGATTAAATTAATGATCCTTCTTCGGCTTCTTTTTGTGGAGATGGCAGCAATTTGTGATGATGAGATATATCATTATCACTTCAATTTAAGGGAAAACATTTCCAGCAGCAGAACCCTTACTCGTCTACCTTCGAATCCTAAGAACGGTCTGAAATTCAGGCATGGAGGATGTTGCTTAAGCTGTTATGTTTTAATATTACTGTTTTTCCCTTAATATTTCTTATGAATTTATTGGCATTTTTTTTCCTTCTCCAGTGGGACTGAAATATGTTTGTCCATTTCAGAGAGCATTGATGTTTTAGTTTCTGAGATCAATCACTTCTTTCGAAAGGTTTTTTCGACTGCATTCTGAAGACTCTGTGTCTTGTTCCGTTGCTTTCATTGCTAGCAGTACAAGATAATTGATAGAGCAAAATGGAAATGGTCTGTCAAGCTTATTAACGAAAACTGAGATAGCAATGATTTAATTCTTCTGCCACGCAGCCTCAAACGGGCTAGTTGTCGCCACTGTCTTTTTATTGCTGACTGCGGTAATAATAGGCCTGGTGGCCGATTGTTGCGTCTTTAGTGCTGCATTGTGTAGGGGCACTGTTTTAGATACCAATGGATTGAGTTGATCTTGGTCTATCATAATGGAGGATGTAATCTGTATTACCGCTAGTTTGGGAATTGTGACTAACTGTACATGCTGTACGCCGTTTAAAAAAAATGGCTCGAGAAGGTTTTTCATGCCTTTCCATGAATCTACCTTTCAGTTAGTTTAAGTAAGGTTTTACCACAACATTCTCTCATGGATGCTGACAAGTAGGGGCTTTCGGTTACTGAAAATGAGGGTTGTTGTGGTATACCTGCAGGATTTGATCTGTAAACCCAGCTTTTATGGGAAAGTTGGCTGCCCGGTTTAGAGAGAACAATTAACCCTCTTATATACTCTGTGGAGTTTTATTCTGCAAGGGCATTTATTGCTCCTTCAACTATGCATTAAAACTGTCAGCGAACAATATAATATTGTAATTTAATGCTTTCAGCACTAAGGAGCAATTTTTAATTTTTTTTGTCATATTACATATCCAGAATGATCCGTCCAATTTTTATTTATAGTTTGAAGTTCCTATAATACTCTATAGAGCAAGTAGTTGCCGAAACTTTTATCAATTGTTTCCACTATTTTTTATGTTTTGTTGTCTACTTATTTTGCAGATGATGATCTTGAATATCCCAGTAAGTTTAGCCTCCATTCCTCATTGTTGATCTTTTTTGTTGCACATATGGAAGGCATGCCTCCATTTGGATAGAGAAGAATGAGAGGAGGCAATGAGAAGGGTTAAAATGGTCAAACAGCTAATATTGTAACCATTTTAACCATTCTCTTTCCTTTCTGTTCTGTTTCCATGATCAAAGTTAGCCTTAAGGTATTGATGGTAGCAGCAGCAATCCAGCAGCTATTATGACATGTTGATGAGCTTAAAGATACCAGTGTTGCTCCTTTTATGCGAATTGTTTTTTCCTGGTTTGTTCTTTTAATTGGTCTAAATATCACATATCACTTGGAGACAAGAAACTTGCACTATAAACGTCAGGTTGTAGATTGCAGTGGCATGTACTTTAAAACTAATAAACTAATGATGAACAGTCTCTCCAAAAAAAAAGAAGAGCTTCCTCGAATTTGTTATCCATAGATTCTGTAAAAGATGATAAATATTAGCTTAGGTGCACGAAATTTTTTGCCTTGGGGAACTTTTGTCCTGACTAGTAGCCAGCTCTTCGTCTTTTTTTCAGAATATTGCAATTGAACTGTTGATTGAACGTGAAGATATTCCTGGATCAAGATGTGAAAATGTCTTTCTAGCAAATAGAAGCAATCCTGGACCTCTTTCAATCTCAAATGTTGAATTTCTGAAGTCAGGCCTTGAAGATTATGTTTTAAAGCATGGGAATTCTCTAACCCAAAAGTGCAGTACCTGCTTTGCAACTTCGTAAGTTTGTACCACATTTGTCCCTGCTTCCGTTCCAGAGTCTGCTGCATTCATTGAAGATCCTTACATTTTCAATTTTCTAACTTAGAGTTACAAGTTTTCTTATTCACATTTGCATGCAAGTCAACCAACTCTTTAACCAACAGAGCAACTTGAGGTTGGCCATATGAATTTAATTTGCACATCCCTGCTATGTCTTGTTTTATTTGACATGGAATTATTGATGTTTATATAAACATTGAATACCCCCCCCCCTGCACACTATATACTTCATCAATATAATTTTTTTTACAACAAGAAGATGGTGGTTTTGAACATGGCTAATTTTACTCCACATGACCAAACTGCATGATAAAGAGCCTCCTCATAACCAATTGAAGTTATTAATTCTTGTATACACTCACTCACTCACTCACTCACTCACTCACACACGGACACACATTGTTTTTCTACAAAGCCAAATTTAAGTTTCAGGAATTTGTGAAACTTGCTGCATGGCTGATCTCTTGGAAATGACTAATATCCTTTCTCTGTGTCTCATTAGTGATTGTCTTAAGGTTGGGAGTGGAATAGCATGCAGCACAGAAAGCCATAAGAGTTCTGGACTCATGATGGAAGTGGTGATTATAATAAGTGAGATAGAGTCAACCTGTCCTTGCTTCAGGGAATGCAGTTCTAAAACAGAGGTTCGCATCATTTTCTTCTCTGTTCGCTTTACAGACCTTTTTATTAATCAAGTTCGTCAGACATATTCTGGCAAGATTGGCTTGCAAGAAAGAGGTACATGTTTTAGGAAGAGAGATTGGCAACATTGAAGTGCAGAAAGTTAAATATGATAATCATTTCTTACTGTTGTTTTTCCGGACCTCAAATTATTAACGGGGAGATTCTAGACTGTTTTTTTTTTTTTTTTCATATAAAAAAGAGCTGAGAGATGAAATTCGTTTTTATCCACACAAAAAGGTTTAAGAGCTGTTTGTACAAGTTTGGTCAAATTGTTAGAATTGTGCAAGTATCGGAGTCAAAATTGTTATAGCATATCATGTTATTGTAGAAGTTAATTTTGATCTGGCTTTACATATATTATTGCAATTTTCCCAGTCATTGGATTCTTCTTGTTGTTCTTATGTTTTCCATTTTTTTGTATTTGATTTGGCTGACCTGATGTGCAATTCCAGGTATTGTATTTCAAGGATTTCACACCCTGTTCAATTTCCCATTCAATGCTGAATGTATTGTCTACCATTGACTGGAAAAGTTATGGACTGATTCTGGAGAACGTTGTGGATCAAGGTGTCTGTGTACTAGAGTGGGAAGACTCACCATCTCATTCTCAAATTGATATGGTCCTCCACTGCTACCATAAGCAATATCCAATGTCAGCTCACATGCAATTCATTTCACTTTGCTTAATCGTTATGCTTAATATGTTGCTGTGCCATGTGCTTTTATTTTCCTTGACTTGATATCAAGTTCACGTTACCATTGGGCAGGCATAAAACTCAACTTGAACGGCATCTCATAAAAAAAGCAGTTAAAGCTGCATTGAATAATTTGAAGGAAAAACATCCAGGAATTCTTCTAAGTGCACATGCCCACAAGGTAAAATCCACCGGTTCACCCTGAAATTATTATGCGAATTCAAGTTTCTATACAATTCAGTTTGTTTCTTCATTCGAAAACCAAAGAGCTGATGAACTTCATAATCCTTAATGGTGAAGTTTTTTTCCTCAAATAGTAATTGAAGACTTCTCATTTAGTTAGTTGGCTATACGCAGCTTTAAGTATTACTAATTAGGCATCTTAACGATGAAAGCTACATTCATCTATTTAATCTTTGTCTTCATTCTGATCATTTAGTTTGGAATTGTCTGTATCCTCAGATTTGCAGTCATGCCCCTGACCTTGCAAGATCTATTGCTGGCCTCATCTTGTCATCTAATGATCCAGACTTTCAAGGAGAATGCTTCTCTCTTCTTGGTTTGCAGTCAAAAGAAATTGAAGCGGATGTTGTTGAAGATTGTATCCAGGAGAAGATTGTTTCAGTTATAGAGATGAATGACAGGAAGTCCAGGCAACGCAAAGTGGTGGCGCCTTTTCTTTTTGAAGACGACTGTGAGCAGGATTCGAACTATCAAGACAAAGAATATGAAGAAGGTGAGGATGAATTTAGTTACCTGGACTAGTAATGAATCTATGTGTCAAGTTCTTATCAACTCCTGAGATTGCTGTAAAGCTTTGTTAGCCCACATGTAGGCTATAGTTGTAAATTTAGGAAGGTTACGGGATTAGTTTGGGAATGTCTGTTTTCAAGCTGCATGCAGTTTACTCGTTATCAGAGCTGCATTAGTACCTGAAATGTTCAAAGACATGCTCCATTAGCTTCAGCATAGTATTAAACCATATCGCCCACCTAACACAAGCCAAACCCCCCACCCTCCCCCTCCCTCGTATTCTTTTTTTTCATATCAAATGCATTTCATGTGTATACTATCTGTTAGGGTCCTTTTCAAGTTCCTTTTACCTTTTCAGACTTCTTTTTTGAAGAGATTTTTGTTTATTGTTGGACTTTCTTTTGAGCAATTCTTGTGCACTAAAGCTGTATATATATGATTTTCATTCTCTATATGAATAGGTAATAGGATTATGAGGTTGATTTTTGGTTCCAAAATTAGTCTCATGGGAAAGAGAAATTTTTTGAAGTTTATGATGAAGGCCTAGAAACATATTTACGAGGGCAAATGGCACTATATATATTCTTTTTAGAATATCCTCTTACCCTTTCTAGGAAGTCTAATTTTAATTTTTAGTAAATTACAATATATATAATATTAAAACCTTATGCAACATTATGTTTAAGTGAAATTGTAGTTTGAATACACTAATAACACGACCTAATATGAAGATTGTATCATCGGTTTAGAAATTGCTTTAAAGTTAAAAATTAAAAAACTTGGTATTTACGATTAATGCTAATTATCTACCAGGTAAAAGGGAAATGACAAACTAAGAATGAAAAATTAAGATCATACTAAGATTACCTCTTGAAGTTGGTTAGTGAGTTCGGTGAGATAAAATTTTAATATGAGTAGAGACAATAATCAATTTGTTAATGCCTTGGTCACTTAAGCCTTGATGACGCTGATCAATATTAGGGGTAGGATTTGATTGATACTTAAAAGTGTATTTTTATCAAGGTTTTATATCATCATTTTGCACTTGAAGTATCAATAACTCCTTAACTAAAGCATGTTTTATAATAAGATATCTAATAATATAAGATACCTTTAATTTAAGGTAAATGTTCATTTTAAATTGAGGCCTATCACATAAATAAAAGGATTGATTGATGAATTTAAGAACTGAAATTGAAAGGACAAAGAGATAACCAAACTTAGAAAAGAGATG